TTCATTAGTCGTAATTATCCATGTCATCAAACTGGCTTTAAACAGCTATGTAACCTTGGTTTTTTAACATGTTTATAGTATGTTTATGGTAAATTTAAAATCACACCAAGGTTTATCGCATTGCCTAGATAGAATATTTTATGAGTAATTTTACTGATACGTAAAGATCTTTATATAAAGATGGTAATGCACTAACTGTATTGTATCATCATTAGTATATCATATTGTACAAGGTCATGACAATCTATGTACCAGTACAGAAATAAATTGAATTGAATTGAATTAATATTTGTACGACTTGACGGTAAGAAGAATTTACAAACAACAGAAAACAATGGACCCATAAATAACAGGAGTGAACAATTACAACTGGATTTCCTTAACCTGTAACTTTGAATGTGTCCCCAGAAACATTTTAATACCTGTAGCAAATGCAATATGATAAGGTTCACTTGTTCTTCCGTTTGATACCGTTGTGATAAGAGCTTCATAAGATGTACCAGGATCCAAATCTGAGAGGACCATCAGTGTCTCCCGTGTCTCTTTGCTCCTAGAGCTAAAGCTCTTTCCACTCGGCCAATAGCACATTTGAAAATGGTCGACATGTCCCTGCGGGTGCTGCCAGCAAAGCTCCAAACATGTGACAGACAGATGCTTTATGTCACAGCCCTCTATCTGCTCGGGACCTTAAGAGGAATGAAATGTCGTTGTAAAGTAAACAGATTCATGTTGCTTTTGTGCTCTTTGGTAGCTTATGTAATTATTTCAGCTCAACAGAATGCCGAACGTGAAGCTGGCTATCTGCTTAAGCTTACTGATTAGTAATGTGAACTGTAAGAAAGGTCAATATACGTACCTGTGATTAAAGTAACCATGCATTCTTTGCTTTCTTTACTGTTGAGCAAGGTAGTGATTTCCACATGATACTTTTCTCCAGGTTCCAAGTTGATTAAATCAAAGACACATCTGTCTGTGTATTCATGATCTTTAACTTGGTTGTTGATATTCCAGTGAGAAACCCTAAATTTTTCCCAGTTTCCTTTTGGGGGTTCCCATGAAAGCGATGCCGATTTTTCCTGGGCTAATGCCTTAATTTCTCCGACTGCATCTGGATCTGTTTGGTGACAGGAAGACAATAAAATCAGTATAGAGTGATTCTGCTTTTGGCGCTCTATCTATACTTTAGAATTATATACACTACATAGAATCTAAATCTCACAAAAAGAAATTACAGCAATCACCTAGTTTCTAAAGTTCAGCCTTATTTCTAAAAATGATACCGTTTTTTACCCGTTCAGGTTCATGTAACTAACCTGATCCAGTGATACATCAGCTAGTGATCAAAGGTAGTAGTTATTTTACTTGGAAGCATGAAATAACATTTTATAAAAATACCTGCACAAACTCGTAGGGGGTCACTTTGTGTGTCTGCACTGTCTGTTACAGTATGGATTATCACATCGTATTCCGTTCCTGGAAGTAGGTCATCAAATGTGGCCTCTGTGTTGCTATCCCGAGGAATTTTTTTAGATCGGACAGATCCGGCTTTCTCGATTAAGTCTACCCCATAGTACCCAACTTCGCCTATGGCCGCTTCCCACTTGATAGTCAAATAATCGGTGCCTTTGCTTTGACATTTTGGCTCACATTTTGCAGGCTCTGATATAGATAATGAAAAAAAATGTATCAGATAAGAAATTATAAATATATATGACATGAAGAGATAAGTGAACGTGAATGTTTCCTGATGTGTTTGTAAGGTACATGGCCTACATTACATCATATGTTGTGAAAGGGCTATAGTTTTTTTTTTAAGAATGAATGGCCTCGGAAACGATGTTGATTTGGAGGGCACACAGCGTCATTTTGTGCAGTCTAGATCTGCGATTCTTAGTCTGACTCTTTTCCAGAAACAGAAGGCGGGTCAGGACCCCCTGACACACCCTCTAAGGGACCATTCCCACATATATTTGGGTCGATCTTTCTCCCTGGGGAGACTTACAGAATTGCTATCAATTTAACCGGCTGAAATGTCTGTCATGCCTAGTAAATCTGTGAGGGCGTAATTATCTCTGCCACTTAGCTGATTCGGTAGACTTGACAGACATTTAAGCCTGTAAAGTTGATAGCAATTTAGTGAAACTCCCCAGGGAGTTAGACCGACTCAGATGGATCAATCTAGGCATGAGAACCCTGTCTTATTTCGCTACTGCATTGTACCCAAATGTTCTAACATTTAACACACATGCTACAGGGCCGTAACCTGAGCAAAATGCCAGGGGGGGCAGTAGCGGACACGAGGGGTCGAAGCCCCCGAGGGGGGAGGGCGTGGGAGGGGGTGTCCCCCTCGCACGGTGTGGAAAATTTTTAAATACTGTATGTATAATACTGCATTCTAGAGCATTTTAACTGTTTTATTGCACAATCAGAAGTCAGAAATTGTGGGTTCATTTTGCCATAAGTATAGCTCCCCTACGGATAGCTCCCTAAGGGAGGGTGAGCTTTTTGGCATGAACTGAGTTGGCTAAAAACAGTACACCTTTGTTAACAGATTGTTGAATGATTGTCTAGTGGCCATGAGTGCATTTTCTCACAGAACTGATACCAACTTTGCAATTTTTTTTTTATTAATTATTATTTTATTAATTATTATTTACCTTTGCGATTATTATTATTCTTATTCTTATTATTTTGCACCTCAAATCCCAGGGGGAGCAGCTGCCCCCCTCCCCCCCCCCTCCCCCCCCCCGGAGGCTACGGCCCTGTGCTATAATATTTCAAAGACAAGCAAATCTGCACGCTCCTTTCTCTTATCGTTATGGAACAGGTGATACACTCTCTTCCTTAATGTTCAGGGTGAACAAAGAGCTGACACTTACTTGTTGAGCACTTGAAACAATAAGGTTTGCTTCTCTGGTCATTTAGCGTGGTTAATAGCTTGGCAAAGTATGTTGTTCCTGGAGTTAGTTCAGCTACATGTATTTCTCCCTCTTCTGTCTCTCCAACGTGGAACGTCTTTCCTTCTTGTGGATCTTTGGGACCATTTAATTGTAACTGGTATCCATCAACTTTGCCTTCAGGCCTTTTCCATTTTAACGTGATACTATCAACGCCAGTATCAATGTGGATTGCTGTTATTGAAGCTGGGTCTTGTAAAATAAAAAAAGGGTTTTACCAAATGGATGCATTGAAGTGTCAGATTTCAGTATACAATGGTAACTTTTATTGAACGTGCTTGTTTGCAAATTAAAACTGTAAATAAAAACAGAATGCAAGATAGATATTTTAGAAAATGAACTAAAGAAATTGAAAAAGCAAAAATCTTCCCACCTGTTTGCACAACAATAGAACATGGTTCACTTTCTTTCCTGTTACTGACGGAAGAAACACTGATTTCATACTGGGTGCCAGGCGATAAGCCAGCAATTGTATGATCTGTTTTTGTTGTATCTCTAGTTTTATATTTCACTTCCTCATCTTGTAAACGCCATCCAACAGTGAAATGGTCAAATAATCCTCGTGGTTTTTTCCATTTGACATCGACAAGTGTTGAACCTCTGCATGCTGCTGCTAAATCTAATGGTATATCCGGGTCTGGAAAGAAGAAGATGTTTTGAAGCATTACATGTTCGTATTAATATTTGTACGACTTGACGGTAAGAACAATTTACAAACAACGAAAACAATGGACCCATAAATAACAGAAGTGAACAATTACAACTGGATTTCCTTAACCTGTAACTTTGAAGGTGTCCCCAGAAACATTTTAATACCTGTAGCAAATGCAATATGATAAGGTTCACTTGTCCTTCTGTTTGACACCGTTGTGATATGAGCTTCGTAAGATGTACCAGGATCCAAATCTGAGAGGACCATCAGTGTCTCCCGTGTCTCTTTGCTCCTAGAGCTATAGCTCTTCCCACTCGGCCAGTAGCACATTTGAAAATGGTCGACATGTCCCTGCGGGTGCTGCCAGCAAAGCTCTAAACACTTGACGGACAGTTTCTTTATGTCACAGCCCTCTATCTGCTCGGGACCTTAAGAAGAATGAAATGTCGTATTAAAGTAAACTGATTCATGTTGCTTTTGTGTTCTTTGGCACCTTATGTAACAGTTTCAGCATAACTTAATACGGGACGTGAAGCTGGTAATCGGGTTAAACTTACTGATTACTTATTCAAATTGTAAGAAAAGTGAATATACATTGTACGTACCTGTGATTAAAGTAACCATGCATTCTTTGCTTTCTTTTTTGTTCAGCAAAGTAGTGATTTCCACGTGATACTTTTCTCCAGGTTCTAAGCTGATTAAATCAAAGACACATCTGTTTGTGTATTCATCAGTCTTAACCTGTTTGTTGATATTCCAGTGAGAAACCTTAAATTTTTCCCAATTTCCTTTTGGGGGTTCCCATGAAAGTGATGCCGATGTTTTCTGGGCTAACGCTTTAATTTCTCCAACTGCATCTAGATCTGTTTGGTGACACGAAGACAATGAAATTAGTTTGGAGTGATTCTGCTTTTGGCGCTCTATCTATACAGAATTATATACACTACATAGAATCTAAATCTTATAAAAATAAACTTAAGCAATTATCTAAATTTTATAGTTCAGCCTTATATCTAAAAATGAAACGGTTTTGACCCGTTCACCTAACTGACCTTATTCAGTGTTACATCAGCTAGTGATCAAAGGTAGTAGTTATTCTATTTGGATGAATGGAATATCATTAAATCAAAATACCTGTACAAACTCGCAGGGGATCACTTTGTGTGTCTGCACTGTCTATTACAGTGTGAATTATCACATCGTATTCCGTTCCTGGAAGTAGGTCATCAAATGTGACCTCTGTGTTGCTATCCCGAGGAATTTTTTTAGATTGGACAGATCCGTCTTTCTCAATTAAGTCTACCCCATAGTATTGAACCTCGCCTATTGCCGCTTCCCATTTGAAAGTCAAATGATTGGTGCCTTTGTTTTGGCATTTTGGGTCACATTTTGCAGGTTCTGATATAAAAAAATGAAAAAAAAAATACTGTGTCAGATAAATTATAAATATATATGACATGAAGACATTAGTTAACGTGAATGTATTCTGATGTGTTTGTGCGATACATGGCCTACATTACAGGGACGGATCCAGAATTATGTAAAAGGGGTCCAGTATTTTTTAAAGAATGACAGTCCTCCGAAACGATCTTGTGTTGTAAGAACTGTGATTCTTGGTGTGACTATTTACCAGAAACAGAAGGGGGTCAGGACCCCTGACACACCCTCTAAGGGACCATTCCCACAGATATTTGGGTCGATCTTTTTCCCTGGGGTGTCTAACTAAATGCTATCAATTAAACCGGCTGAAATGTCTGACACGCCTAGAAAATATGTGAGGGCGTAATGATCTTGGCCCCTTAGCTCATTCGGTAGGCTTGACCGACATTTAAGCCTGTAAAGTTGATAGCAATTTAGTGAGACTCCCCAGGTAGAAAGACCGATTCAGATTAATCAATCTACCCATGGGAACCGTCTAATTTTGCTACTGCATTGTACCCAGATGTTCAGATAACACCCATGCTATAATATTTCAAAGACGAGCGGAACTGTACGCTCCTTTCCCTTGTCAGATTATGGAACAGGTGATAAACTCTCTTTCTTAAACATGCATACAAAGTCAATTTTTTGTCACAAAAACCAACCAAATGCCAGCATATAGTATCAAGTAGTATAATTAAGAGACTTACCAAAAGGCATTGTTTAATTTTACCCAAAAATGATGTTTGAACAGATTTTTCAGCTGGCATTCTAAGCTGTATGTCAATGGGGCAGGAAAGTAGGTCACGGAAGTAGGTTAAATTTACAACAATAAATTTAAAGAAAGGAGCAGTCTAAAGATCTTTTATGGCTGATCGAGTGATCAATTCAGGCATGTCAAATTTATTTGAGTCATATAAGAATCTAGTAAAAGTGGTTTAAATGTGTTACTGGGAATCCACGCTTCACCAATTCTCAGTTCGTATGTACCTTTAATGTTCGGGTTGAACAAATAGCTGGCACTTACTTGTTGAACACTTGAAACAATAAGGTTTACTTCTCTGGTCATTTCGCATGGTACATAGCTTGGCAAGGTATGTTGTTCCTGGAGTTAGCTCAGCTACATGTATTTCTGCCTCTTCTGTCTCTCCAATGGGATAGGTCTTTCCCTCTTGTGGATCTTTGGGACCATTTAATTGTAACTGGTATCCATCAACGTTGCCCTCAGGCATTTTCCACTTCAACGTGACACTATCAACGCCAGGATCAATGTGGATTGCTGTTATTGGAGCCGGGTCTTGTAAATTAAAAAAAAAGAGTTTTACAAAATGAGTACATTGAAGTATCAGATTTCCGTACACAATGGTAACGTTTATTGAACGTACTTGTTTGCAAATTAAAACTGTAAATAAAAACAGAATGCAAGCGAGATATTTTAGAAAATGATACAAAGAAATTGAAAAAGCAAAAAGCTTCCCACCTGTTTGTACATCAATGGAACAGGGTTCACTTTCCTTCCCATTACTGACTGAAGAAACACTGATTTCATACTGGGTGCCTGGCGATAAGCCAGCAATTGTATGACCTGTTTTTGTTGTATCTCTAGTTTCATATTCCTCCTCCTCATCTTGTAAACGCCATCCAACAGTGAAACGGTCAAATAATCCTCCTGGTTTTTTCCATTTTACATCAACAAGTGTTGAACCTCTGCATGCTGCTGTTAAATCTAATGGTACATCCGGGTCTGGAGAGAAGAAGATGTTTTAAAGCATTACATTTTCGTAATAAAATTTGTACGACTTGAATGTAACAACATATCACAAACAACAGAAACCAATGGACCCATAAGTAACAGGAATTAACTATTATTACTGGATTTTCTTAACCTGAAACTTTAAAAGCGCCCCCAAAAACATTTATACCTGTAACAAATGCAATATGATAAGGTTCACTTGTCCTTCCGTTTGACACCGTTGTGATATGACATTCATAAGATGTACCAGGATCCAAATCTGAGAGGACCATCAGTGTCTCCCGTGTCTCTTTGCTCCTAGAGCTATAGCTCTTCCCACTCGGCCAGCAGCACATTTGAAAATGGTCAACATGGCCCTGCGGGTGCTGCCAGCAAAGCTCTAAACACTTGACGGACAGTTTCTTTATGTCACAGCCCTCTATCTGCTCGGGACCTTAAGATGAATGAAATGTCTTTTTAAAGTAAACAGTTCCATGTTGCTTTTGTGTTCTTTGGTATCTTATGTAGTTATTTCAGCACAACTGAATACCGAACGTGAAGCTGGTTATCGGGTTAAACTTATTGATTTCCTATTCAAATTGTATGTAAAGTCATCTACGTGAACCCCTTAGCAAAATATACGTACCTGTGACAAAAGTAACCGTTCGTTCTTTGCTTTCCATTTTGTTGAGCACAGTAGTGATTTCCACACGATACCTTTCTCCAGGTTCCAAGTTGAATAAATCAAAAACACATTTGTTTGTGTATTCATCAGTCTTAAACAGTTTGTCGACATTCCAGTGAGAAACCCTAAATTTTTCCCAATTTCCTTTTGGGGGTTCCCATGAAAGCGATGCTGATTTTTCTTGGGCTGGCGCTTTAATTTCTCTGACTGCCTCTGGATCTGTTTGGTGCCATGAAGGCAATAAAATTAGTCTAAAGAGAATCTGTTTTAGCGCTTTATCTATACTTGTGAATTATATACACTGCATAAAAGATTAATCTCATAAAAAAGTATAACAATTATCTAGTTTTTATAGTTCAGCCTCATTTCTTATAATGATACCGTTTTGACACGTTCAACTATCCAGAGTTATATCAGCTAGTGATCAAAGGTAGTCGATATTTTACTTGGATGCATGAAATATCATTAAATTAAAATACCTGTACAAACTCGCAGGGGATCACTTTGTGTGTCTGCACTGTCTATTACAGTGTGAATTATCACATCGTATTCCGTTCCTGGAAGTAGGTCATCAAATGTGACCTCTGTGTTGCTATCCCGAGGAATTTTTTTAGATCGGACAGATCCGTCTTTCTCAATTAAGTCTACCCCATAGTATTGAACCTCGCCTATTGCCGCTTCCCATTTGAAAGTCAAATGATTGGTGCCTTTGTTTTGACATTTTGGCTCACATTTTGCAGGTTCTGATATAAAAAAATGCAAAAAAAAAAAAATAATAATAATAAATAAAAAAAAATACTGTCTCAGATAAGTGATACATATATATGACATGAAGACATAAGTGAACATGGATGTATTCTGATGTGTTTGTACGGTACATGGCCTACATTACAGGGGCGGATCCAGAATTATGTAAAAGGGGTCCAGTATTTTTTAAAGAATGACAGGCCTCCGAAACGATGTTGTGTTGCTAGAACTGTGATTCTTGGTGTGACTCTTTACCAGAAACAGAAGAGGGGTCAGGACCCCTGACACACCCTCTAAGGGACCATTCCCACATATATTTGGGTCGATCTATGGCTGAAATGTCTGTCACACCTAGAAAATATGTGAGGGCGTAATTATCTTTGCCCCTTAGCTGATTCGGTAGGCTTGACAGACATTTAAGCCTGTAAAGTTGATAGCAATTTAGTGAGACTCCCCAGGGAGTAAGACCGATTCAGATGAATCAATCTACCCATGATANGGTGTTTGTTTAGCCCATAACCTCCTTCATCACAAAACATGTAAAGGTTAGATGATAGACAATGTTTTAGGTATGTTTATCAATGATTAGTATTTTTAGAAAAAATGCAAAAAAACAGGCGGCCATCTTGGAAATTGTCCGTTTCCATGGTTACGCAGGCAATTGCCATTTCCACATCATGGCTAACTTTGACCAGCAGACTCTGAGCTTTCAAATGATATATAATTCAGGTCTGTGCATAAAGGGGACACTAAATCTGAAAATTTTGGCCTTCTGCCGCTCACCTATGAGAACCGTCTAATTTTGCTACTGCATTGTACCCAGATGTTCAGATAACACCCATGCTATAATATTTCAAAGACGAGCAGAACTGTGCTCTCCTTTCCCTTGTCAGATTATGGAACAGGTGATAAACTCTCTTCCCTAATCTTCAGGTTGAACAAATAGCTGACACTTACTTGTCGAGCACTTGAAACGATAAGGTTTACTTCTCTGGTCATTTCGCATGGCAAATAGCTTGGCAAGGTATGTTGTTCCTGGAGTAAGTTCAGCTACATGTATTTCTGCCTCTTCTGTCTCTCCAATGGGAAACGTCTTTCCCTCTTGTTGATCTTTGGGACCATTTAATTGTAACTGGTATTCATCAACTTTGCCCTTAGGCATTTCCCACTTCAACGTGACACTATCAACGCCAGGATCAATGTGGATTGCTGTTATTGGAGCCGGGTCTTGTAAATTAAAAAAAAAGACAAGTTTTACCAAATTAGTACATTTAAGTGTCAGATTTCAGTACACCATGGTATCGTTTATTGAACGTACTTGTTTGAAAAATAAAACTGTATATAAAACAGAATGCAAGAGAGATGTTTTAGAAAATGAACTAAAGGAAGTGAATAAGCAAAAAGCATCCCACCTGTTTGCACACCAATAGAACAGAGTTCACTTTTCTTCCCGTTACTGACGGAAGAAACACTGATTTCGTACTGGGTACCAGGCGCTAGGCCAGCAATTGTATGATCTGTTTTTGTTGTATCTCTGGTTTCATATTCCTCCTCCTCATCTGGTAAACGCCATCCAACAGTGAAATGGTCAAATAATCCTCGTGGTTTTTTCCATTTTACATCAACAAGTGTTGAACCTCTGCATGCTGCTGTTAAATCTAATGGTATATCCGGGTCTGGAAGGAAGAATGTATTTTAAAGCATTACATGTTCCTATTAATATTTGAACGACTTGACAGTAATAACATTTTACAAACAAAAGAAACCAATGCACCCATAAGTAACAGGAGGGAACTATTACGACTGGATTTCATTAACCTGTAACTTTAAAGGCACCCCAGAAACATTTATACCTGTAGCAAATGCAATATGATAAGGTTCACTTGTCCTTCCATTTGACGCCGTTGTGATATGAGCTTCATAAGATGTACCAGGGTCCAAATCTGAGAGGACCATCAGTGTCTCCCGCGTCTCTTTGCTCCTAGAGCTATAGCTCTTCCCACTCGGCCAGTAGCACATTTGAAAATGGTCGACATGTCCCTGCGGGTGCTGCCAGCAAAGCTCTAAACACTTGACGGACAGTTGCTTTATGTCACAGCCCTCTATCTGCTCGGGACCTTAAGAAGAATGAAATGTCGTATTAAAGTAAACTGATTCATGTTGCTTTTGTGTTCTTTGGCACCTTATGTAGTTGAGTGGATACCACATTGGTGTCAAAACACCAGTAGTAGCCATAGATGAAAAGATGAACCAGATCAAATAAATGAATAATCTGGGAACCACTTGTCTGTCATTCAATAAGGGGCACTTTCGGAACAATTTTAGGTTGCATTTAGAATGCCGGTTCAAACAGAGTTCTTTAAATAGCAGATAACTTACAGAACCAAGGGAATGTACAGCTGCCTTGGTCATCAAAATCGCCATACTTGAATCACATAGTCAATGTGTGGGTAGGTCATTACTCTCTGAATCAACGGCCGACATGTCCTTCAACAAAACAGAACCAAACTGGACAATTTTTGACCGATGCCTGGAACTTTATTCCAAATGAAACCTATCCCAAGGAATGCTTTTTAACTTGAGAGCCCTGAAAGCAGCCAGATAAGGTCAGGCGTAACAGCGAACGCTGTTGTTTCTACACACTGGCATCCTTTCCACACAGGGTCCTTTGTGATGCATGTAACTCTTTTACAGACGACAATTTGGAATTGTTTGGTTCACTAGTGAAATCAATTTATGACCTGATGTCACGATGACACCTAAGAGATAATTAGAATTTTTGAAAAACACGATTTAAATCCTTATTTTCATTTATCAGTCAGCAAAATAGAAAAAAAAATGATGAAAAATGCTTTGGAAAAAAATCTCATATTAAATATCAAGTCTGTACAATCCTTAGTGTTTTACAAATTTGGTAGTTAAAGTACATTTAAAATGTATTAAAAACAAAGTTAAATATTTTCTTTGATTTAGTCGTTTTAACTGCTAGTGTAAGAATTGAATAGAGAGGGAAATGGCTTCACGAAGATTCAGTGGGGTGTTACTGGGAGTTTGGAGACAAATCTAACTGGTTGATTATGACAACCCATGTAGTCTGATAGCTTAACGTTCTCGCTCTGCTCCTATGCGGCGAATTTGCCCCTTTTACGCAACCCAACTGTGTGAGCATGTAGCTCGTTTACTTCCAGGCCTACCTCTATATATACAAAACGGATTTGCATGTATTGTAATTAAATCGTTTGTTGGGCACGCTTTCTGAAGAATATGTAGCGCACAAGCCATTCCGATAGTGTATCGCATCTCCTTAAATAAAATGAAAACCAAAAGGACCAATCTTATATGCAATTGCCATGGGCAACTTCGACATTTTCATATTATTTTGCTACATTTTGATACCTGTGATAGCCGTCCATTTCTCTGTCAGCCCTTCAAAAGTTTGTTCGTCATCAAATACCCTCGCTATGATATCCCCAGTATACCGAGTACCGGGGATTAGATTGCAAAGAGTTTTGCTGGTAGCCTCTGTCGTTATTTGGCCATCATCGCCATAACCATCATATTTCACTATGTACTCATTTACTACACCGAGCGGTGGACTCCATTTGAGATACAAAGTTCTTGTATCAAATCTTTCTTGTTTAAAAACTGTTGGTTTGCCGGGCCCTGGAAATGAACATCCATTATGTGATACTTTAAGTTTCGAGATGATTTATTTCGTATCTCAGGCCTTCAGAGACAAGCCTTCTCAAAAACGACAAATAACAAAATGTGAAAATTAGCGGTACACTTCGCTATAATCAGAGTCATATGGATACAAAACCGTGCAACTATTTGGAACGTTTTTAACATTTAAAGTGTACTAGTGCATGTGTGGAGTATCGTTTTAACACCAAAAAGCATAGATACGGAAAATTAGAATATTGCATTTGATAGATAGTCAAAAAACCAATAACTTACTGATCAGGTAATATTTTTCTGCGTGTTCGCTAAAACGCCCGTTTGAGCAAGACTCTACGGTAAACTTGAACTTGCTTCCAGGTACAAGGTCGCAGAATTCCGCTTTTTCAACTTTCGTTTTCACCTCTGTAATTTTCTCCACGGTGTTATTACAGTAACAGCGGGCAATGTACCCATCCCACAGACCAGATGACGGGTGTCTCCAAGTGACAATAACACTTGTTCCATCACGTAAATCTAATTGAACTTCTTCTGGTGGATCAGGAGCTTAAAATAGTTTAATAAACATTCCTTGGCACAATTATTTTTAGCATATACTGTTGTTTAGAGTAATTTGCACAGGGTTATTCGAATGGAATGTTAACATTTTTATGATGATAATTTATCTGTGACCATTTTCATTAGACCAGATACGGCAATCGGGTGGCACTAGAATTTACCTGTTATGAACGTAATACATGAAGGTACACTTTCTTTTCCTTGACTGACGGATACCACTGAAGCAAGATACGTTGTCCCCGGGGAGAGATCGCCCACGATAATTCGGTTTTTAGTCGTCTGTATATCATCAAGACAATGACCCCCGCCTTTCTGTTTTACTCTCACTATGTATTCCTCCACATCTCCAACAGGAGCTTCCCATTGAAACGCAGAACGATCCACACCGGGTTCACAATCTAATTGGACATTTTTTGGGCGGTTTGGCTCTGTAATAATAAAACATCTTTAAGATCTAATATCAAACAATTCACGTTTAATAGTTAAAGTGCATTTGCTTAATAGAGAAAAACATATTGGAATTTCACCTCCTTTGATTTGATTCACTATATTTCACTAGAAATTAATTGAATGTATTGTTTATCTTTAAAAAACGCTTGTGGTAAATCACTGTTATTGATAATATACCTGCTATTGATAATATCTTATTTATCTATTTATTTATTTATTTATTTATAAGCGATTACTTTGAAACTTTTGACCGCAGTTGGATTGTATACCATAACCCTTAAAATCACACTTAAGTAACGAGTATTAGAACATAAACCCCAACGATGAAGCCATAAGTCACTGATATCTAGAAATAAATAAAAAAATCCGCATCTGGTCATATATTCGCACTCACTGGTAGAGAATTTCTTATCCTCCTTTTCACCCTGAAGATCCCAGCTGTTGGCAGCTATGCTGACTTCGTAACTACGACCTGGAATGAGATCATCTATGTCCACGCAGTATTCATCGTGGCAGTCAACAGCTTTAATCTTACGATTGTAGCATTCTTGATGCATAACTCTGTCCATACACCTCACAGTATATAAATCAACATGCCCTTGTAATAGTCCCCATGAAACTCTCACTTTCGATGTATCATCATCAAAATCAAAGATGCTCACGTCAACAGCACTGGCTGGCACTAGAAGAAGAAGAATATTGGGATGGTTATATATACTATCATAACCAAATATTTCAAAGTTTGATAAACTGTATATAAAATCACCCAATGTTTAATCTCACACGTAATAAAAATTTGTCTCTTAACTATTGTTATTAATGATACATCCACATTTATTCCCCGACGGCAAGATCCACAGCATTACATATCAAGTAAAAAACACATTTTGAAAAATAAACCATATATCATTCATTGGTTTGCATAATGGAAAAGAAATATCACCTGTAACTTTGGAAATGCTTTCTTTCTCACTTTGAATTCCGTTGCTTTTGGCTTGCACCGACAGATTGTATTTGGTGCCTGGCTGTAGGTAATTGATGGTATATGTACACGTGTCGCTTAGAACCTCTTTGAAACCAGTATCCCCACTGTCATCACTCCAACAGACCACATACGACTGCACATTCCCTACCGGTTTCACCCATGTAACACCTATACTGGTACATGTTGAATCAGCTGTCATTTCTGCCGGTTTTGCCGGGCCTAAAGAGAACAATTAATGCACAATATACATAGGCGATGAGAAAATAGGGGCTTATAGAATTAAGGCATTTAATTGTATTTTTCGGTACATGATTAATCTTAAAGTGGCCTGACACACGCCTGACAGACGATTCGAAGCAAGATTACTTACTTGTGTATAATTTGATATTTGCCTGGACTTTCTTGCCCCCAATATATTTTGATTCGGCACTGTCCTGTATCTGGTCTCCTGGAGGGTATTCAAAAACCTAAAAAAGGAAAAGGATGCCTTTGATAAATTACTTCAGTCAATATTATAAATTATAATTCGTTTTTATGGCTCTGTTCAATCCTAAAACGAATTTTGCCATCCGTGGAATACAACTGTGTATGTGATCCTTGTGGTTATCAACCACAATTACCAAAATTGTACCAGTAACCCCGGTCTTTATTAATAAATTTACCATTATATGAATTAAAAAAAAATATGCGTATGTCAATATGTTGTTTCGTTCAGATAGATAATTATATCTTTTTGCTGGATTTTATCGTTTGCAGCTTTTTTTCTTAATAAGCACCTCGTTATCAGTGCAGCACTCCGCTCCAATAATAATAGTGTACTCGGTGCCTGGTGTGAGCCCGTTTAAGATACAGCTTTCTTTGTAAGATGGGACTTGTCGAAAGACATCATCCTGGCTTCTTCTGTACAACACAGTGTATCTATCAACATTGCCCTTTGGCTTAACCCAACGTATTGGGATACTTGTCGTAGTATCCAATTTCGGCAGTATTTCTTTTTGCAGTTCCACTGTTGTCACCTCACCTGGGTCTGGAGATTATATATAAGGAATATAATTATTGCAATGCATGTAGCATTCAGGTATGTACACCTATGCGCCAGCGAAAACATACAAATGCAAAAAAACACAGACAGCAGATTCTTCCAAGTGCTATTCAAGAGAAAATATACGTTACTGAAAATGCGACAACTGCAAAGTCTAAACAATAATGTTTAAATGTTTGACTGCAAACCCAATGTTTTTTTTTTGTAAATTGAGTATTTCCCCAAAGTTACAACATGGCACTTATCTACTTACTTGTAAGAACAGCTATTTCTACGAAATCACTTTCGGTATGAGCAGTGTCCATGTCAATTGGCCGTTCATCAGTTTTCATTTTACTATAGTCACATCTACACTTCAACATAAACCTAAAAAGCGGGTATTTGGTAAGTGGTTAATGTACATGTGGTCACACTTTTTTCCACAGGGCTACATGTATATATGCTACACGGAGAATCGACATTAAAACACGAAAGGAAAAACACGCCCCATTTTGATGAAAATATTATGAACAGCATGAACCAAGTATATTTACTTAAGTGTTCTTAAAATGACAGAACGAAATACTTAGTGCACATGTAATAACATAATCATGGCCACCTCCATTATATGACACGTCCTTTGTAATGTTCAAACATAAGGAAATAACAGGTCTGGAGTAATGTGTGAATAGTATTAAAAACTATTATTTGAGCATATGCCCCTCCATTTTTTAAAGTGGTTGGGTCGGGAAATACACTTACTCACCTGTAGAGCGTCCCTGGTTGAAGATCTCCCACTTCAATATCAGTTTCCTTGCCAGTTATAATATCTGTAATTGCACGCGATTTCGTGGTAGTTTTCGAATGAGTCCCACTCTTGCTAGCTTGGATGGAGAAAACACTGTATTGCAAAAATAATGACGTCACGTTTCCTTTGTCGACCATACCGACCAATGTTAACATTCTGTCACTTCTTGCGAACGTACCAGATGATTTTTTTAGACCAAATGAACTGGGTTCTGGGGGTTCTGAAGATAAAATATTCATAATAAATATATGATATGATGATACCTAGTTTAAAACTGCGTCCGCACAGTTGTAACACATACACACACATGCTTATACCAGCTAGCAGGCATGTAGACCATCATTTCATGTCTGACAATATGACTGATGTTTGATACTCGATGTCCACGGATAGAGAGAATAACGATTTTTATCATTAAAATGCATGAACGGCTACATGCACGCTTTATACTTACTCGTTGCTATAATTATCTGGGAAGGCTGGCTCGTTTTGATTATCCCTCCTTCCTTTTCCAACACGGCAAATATGTGGACTTTATACACAGATCCTCTTTCTAAATTCTGCAAACACGCATTTTTCTCTCTCTCTTTACCAACTTCTGCCTCTACAACGCGCACTGCAGTATCAGTCACAAAATTCTCGTCGGTTCTCTTTTCTACCGCGATTGTAAAACCCGTGTATTCTCCTCTGAGCGGCCCGTTCCACTCTAGGTTGACGGTCACAGTGTCATCATCCTCGATAGTTTCGTGATGAATTCTTATTTTATCTGGATCAAAGACCACACCTGAAATCATAAGAGATTCCGCTTGTATACAAAACATGACTGTATACTAATCTATATTTACGTTTCTCAATTTTATAACATTTAATTATGGTGTCATCCATGTTGATACCGGACCGTACTAGCTCTTCTCTGCGTATTTCTGCAATCTGCTATAGTTTCCCAGCCTGTGATATTGATCTATTTAAAGTAATGCTAAAGATACGGCACATTTAAGTATTTAGATAAATGTTCATGTATGCAAACCAACCTTCAAGCATTTCCTTAAACGGTCGTGACATCAACTTTGTCACGTGTTCCGCTTCTCGGACCTGGTTTCTCTCTAGAAGGCGAATCAGGAACGCAGCGTCCCCGTGAAATGCGTCGACTTCCTAAATAAAGACCAATGTTGGGTTGTCAGAATAATGTACTATTCACCATATTTATAATTGTTATAATCTTTGAAACGTTTGACACAAAGGTCACGTTATCTTGAAACCTGAGAGTGAATAAAATGACCATTCATAAATAGCGTTAACGATATAACAATAAAATCACTGTTACATATTTTCCCTAGGGTTACTTTACAAAAATGATCGGTGCTCACTCTTGGAATATTTCTTTCTTCAGCAAGAAGTGGATCTCTTTCTATATGGATCTACAAAGAGATATTTAAGTAAGGTAGGCTAAATCTCAAACATTTCCATATATTCCAATATTCCAATTATTACATTTAATTGGTCAAAAAGGTTGTTCCACCCACAATTACATGTACCTTTATTAACAAATGATCACCTCACACATGTAAATGTTGGTTAATAGTGCTTTCTATTATAGCTGGCACATCTTACACGATTAATGGTTCAGAAAATACAAAATATCGGTGAAAATAACCATAACACGTACCGCAGAGGTAAATAAATGTCCATCAAATTAAAAAGACACAACCAAATGTAACCAAATTTACACACAATTTGCATTAGGATGTGCTTGTCAAAGGCCTTGTGCCTGACAACGTGTGTCTACCACGTACTGGAATTATCTCCTGCAGGCGGCACGACAAGCGTTTGACGAGGGTTCTGATTTTTTTGTGGGATAATGTCCCATTCTTCTTAAATAGCTTCTTAAATAATTTGGAAATTGGTTTTCCTCTGCATTGCACCCCCCAGTTAAAATTGGATTTGAGGGGATACACATTATAAATATGTATAATTGACATAAAACATGTATATTTCCACTGCTGTTTTGTATTTTCTGAACCATAAATCATGTTAGATGCTGCATCTGGAATAAAAAACTTTTTTATAACAAGTTACATGCTTGAAGTCATCATTTGTGAATAAAAACACAAAATTTGGGGCGGGAAAACCTTTTTTGACCAATGTTGTATACGAAACCGGAAGAAACACCTGTCATAAGCTGATGCCAGCAAAAAAGTTGCAAAGGGAATCTCTATTGGCGGAATCTCCAAAAAAGCAATTTTCTTATCTTTGAGAATACCAATCCCAACAGAATTATGTTGGATTATAATATATTTGGGGAAATAATGAAGCACTAACTGTCTGTGAAGTGCAAGGATTAAAATTGATGATATACGAAAATGAAAGAATGAAAGAGTTCAATTAAAACTTGACAAAGAGTGTTTATGATATAAGGTTATAAGAACAATGCTTTTTATATGTAGTCCCAGTATGCAGTTATTATGTTGGAAATGATCTCAAAGAGAGGAAATATTCTTGGCCATCCAGACATTGGATATTTCCTTGGCAACTTCTTGTTTACAATAGTGATCGCTTCTCCGGTTTCTTTCGTGCAGAACAAAAACATTCCTTGAAGACAGTAAAGAAATTGTTTCTCTGAGGTATACAGGGGTATTAATAATACTACTGAACCGCCAGACCTATCTTTTATCCATAACTTCGCCTTCACACCGTGGTTTGGAATAAATAACTGATTTAACCCTGTCAGAGGTTTTGAATTCATGGGTGTAGGTTAAGCTTACCTCCGCTTCATCGTCCGGCGGACGTAGTTGCACCGGGTCATCGACACCTCCCTGTCGTAGTAAAGAAAAAAAAAATACATGAAATAGATGATCTGCATGACCCTAAGTACTGTAGTGATAGAGAGGTAGGTGTGAAAGCTTAATTATGTTCCCTAAATATAAGTTTGACTCCCAATTATGTAAGAAGTTTAATTGTAAATAATACAGCAAAACTGTCATATGTACAGATTCGAAGTAGAAAATATCATTTATGATTTTAATGCACAGTGTATGAAATATAACATAATGATGAACAACAATAATCACCAATGATGGATTTATTACTTAAGGAAACAAAGACATTCCGAAACTAGCATACGGCTTCCGCCCCATGGAATATCAAGTCACACACTTAAAAACAATATATATGTAGGACAATTTCACAAAAAAGTATAAAGTCCAGAGATATGACCATATCAACTTGTGTTTCCAATCTAAGCTGTATTTTAGTCCTGTCATTCATTCAAGTAAATAAGAAAATCTTTAGTAACATGGTTCTACTTTTATACTACTTGAAACAGCAGAGGCAGTGCACAAAATCGGGATATAGTCAATTTTGATGCATTATTACATAATACTTAACTGCAATGTTCAAATAAGAACTTTAGGTAATATAAACATTTGGCAATGTATTGAGCATAGCACTTTAGCCCCATGGTATTCTAAAAGGCACACACTAAAATATATTATACAATATACGTAACACATAAATTCTCCAAAAATGATCCAGTCAAGCCGTTGTTTTAATCACGGCTAAGTGCACCAAATGTTAGAATAATAAGTTACACGGTTTTCCTTAACAGTGCAGGTTACCAATGCTTTGGAATAACAGCGTGTTTTTTTTTTTTCTTTTTTTTTTTTTGGGGGGGGGGGGGGGATCTGTTATAGAAATGAAATGCTTCAAAATTAATTTAAAATGAATTACCCACCTCTAGAATACATGAACTTTGCACTAAAATGTTTCTTACCTCGAGCTCAAGAGCGACGTTATCTCCCTCTTCAATGTCTATTGCAACCTATAAAAACATGATAACTAGAGGGTGTTTTAATAAATTGACGAATAGTTAAAGATGGGAAGTTGTTGAAAAACAAGACAATATTTGTGACGCATCATGCAACATAGTTGGACTGTAACATAGTAAATTAGGAAGGATACTCTTATGATTGTAAAATATACGAATATTGATTGGGCACCAAAAGAGTGTAACGTTACAATCACTTGGTAAAAGTAAAAGTACCATATCAAGTCAAGAAAATTAGTTCACACAACCATCTGAAAGGAGTTTTTTTTATTTTAAAGAATGTAAAAATACCTGGAATTTTATAAGACGCTGCTTGGGAACCTTCTATTTTCGGCAAAACGCCGTAATAAGAGTATATTAAGATCACATCGTATGAAAAGCGAAATTAGATTAATTATGAACCGGTTAGCTTAACGCTTACCTGCCCCTGGTTCTTTTTCGTCGTCTTCTGTCCACCAGTGAGTTTTTCTGCGTTCTCATCAAGACCGTAGGGTTTTCTGCCTTCTTTAAGGTACCACACAATACCGAATACTAATATGGCTATATACAGAGCAGCAGCTATGGCGTAAATGGCATTCAGAATTATGAACCAAGTCCCGAGGGTTCTTGTACATACGTAGTCAACCCTCACATTTGCCAATGTGCAGGGAAATAGCCCTTGGTGCACTGGTGGCCAACACGCAAAAAATAAACTGAACACTAGCGCCAAAACAGCAAACAACAGTTGGACTAAACTCTTTGCCAAATAAAACCTGCCAAGAAAATGTTTGTGTTCTAGACACTGCTGCCTATATTGCCATAGCTGCTCGTGTTGTTTCTTAAGTATATCGTATAGGTCAGGATCTGATACCATTCCCTGTATTTCTTCCTGGGTTGTTTTTATTGACCCGTCTGTCCTTGATTTGAACGTTTTCATTTTAGATTTAGTGATCGGTAAACGGAACCAGAGATTACCGATAATAGTTAAGATAATCGCCAGAGCAATCAGAATTCCTGAAAAACTTTTTGTAGGAAATCCAAGTTGGGAACTACATTGCGCGTTTACAATGTCAGCATTGGGCAGCGGTCTCGCAGTATGTAACGTTGAAGCGTTTGTACCGAAAGTTTTTTCTTCAGTGTTGTCTTTAACTGAGCATGTAACTGTTACATTTACGTGGAATCCCATGGCTATGATGCCCACCAGTAGCAGAAATGGCCCAATCCATTGTATAACCCTATCCCACCAACACCGCAAGTCGTCTGTAGCGGAGCGGTGCTTAACCATTCTTTGGAAGTAAGCATCGATTTGGGATGTCATTGTCGCTGACTGGAAAACACATAATTTGACTCCATATTCTGAAAGAGCATGTGCGAATTGGGGGGGGGGGGGTGAACAAAATATCACTTTTAGCCCACGTCAATATTTCTCCATTAAATAGCCGAATGACCTTGAAAATGAGGGTCAAGGTCAAATTTGACATTTGATTTGGGGGTTTTGGGTATATGTTTGGGGTAGTTTACTTTAGCATGCTATGACCAAAAACCAGTGTTTCATGGAGAAATTGCCAAACTCAAAATTTCTGCAATGTCATAAATATTTAAAAATATATATTAAAAAAAGTAATTAAGCAGTCGCTACCAAAGTACGGCTTACCTTAGATAAATATATAGGGCATCATTTGCCACTATGATCAGGGCTCTGAGACTTCCGGTTTTTGAGATTTAGGAAACAAACCTTTTTTGAGCCCGTTTGGCCATTAGCGACCTTGACCTTGACCTACTTGCATAAAAGTAGGTCAACATCTGGGGATTTAGCTCAGTATCTTTGGCCATGAGGCCATTAGCCTAAGGGCTTATACTTTAGGCATAATGGCAATTTCAAATTTTACAAATTTTGCCTTATAAAGCCCCTGTGACCTTGAAAAGTAGGTCAAGGACACTGAAACTGGTTCTGTGGCATATTCTTGCCATAGGCTACCTATGATAATTATTTCAGATTTTTTGCGAAAAAAAAAAAACCCGCGGAAAGAATAATAACTATAACTAGACTGCAACTGGCTAAAGCTAGTGGCGGAGGATTCCCCTGCAAAATAGGCGTGGAAATGCTCTTACAAGGTTATGTGAAGGTCATGGGTTAAATTTGATCCCATATTCTGAAAGAGCATATGCGAATTGGGGAGGGGGGGCAACAAAACATCACTTTTAGCCCACTTCAATATTTCTCCATTAAATAGCCGAATGACCTTGAAAATTAGGGTCAAGGTCAAATTTGACATTTGATTTGGGGGTTTGGGGTATATGTTTGGGGAAGTTTACTATGGCATGCTATGACCAAAAACCACTGTTTCATGGAGAAATTGCCAAACTCAAGATTTCTGCAATGTCATAAATATTTAAAAATCTTTATTAAAAAAAGTAATTAGGCAGTCGCTACCAAAGTACGGCTAACCTTAGATATATATATAGGGCACCATATGCCACTATGATCGGGGCTGTGGGATATCCGGTTTGTGAGATCTCGGAAACAAACCTTTTTTGAGCCCGTTTGGCCATTAGCGACCTTGACCTTGACCTACTTTCATAAAAGTAGGTCATTATATGTGGATTCACCTCAGTATCACTGACTATAAGGCCCATAGCCATACGGCTTATACTTAAGGCCTAATGTCAATTTCAAATTTTACAAATTTTGCCTTTAAAATCCCCTGTGACCTTGAAAAGTAGGTCAAGGACACTGAAACTGGGTCTGTGGCATATTCTTGCCATAGGCTACCTATGATAATTATTTCAGATTTTTTGCGAAAAAAAATGCGCGGAAAGAATAATTACTATAACTAGACTGCAACTGGCTAAAGCCAGTGGCGGAGGAATCCCCTGCAAAATAGGTGTGAAAATGCTCTTACAAGGTCATGTGAAGGTCATGGGTTAAATTTGACCCCATATTCTGAAAGAGC